TACTTAAAATCTCAACTGCCTCTTAAAAAAGGATGAATCTTACCGTTAAAGAATTCGTCTAACCTTTTGCTGTTCCATTTTGTAGCTAATCATGTGGGTGATCTTGACTAAAGGTAGACCTGGAAAGAAAGGGGTGAAGGGGAGAGTGCTGTGTCCTTCTGCCCTATAGAATGAGCAGCTCCTGGGGCAGAATGATGGGAAGTTGGGGAAGAGCAATGGGGAGAGAGAGGCAGAGGGGGTTGCTGGCACAGTGGCCAGAGGTAAGGGCTCTCTGAGGCCCAGGGCAGTGGCTGAAAAAGCCTCATGAGTCCCATTCCCAATAATTAAAGCCCAGATTTTTTTTGAGGGCAGTGATTTTTATTTCAAAAAGACATATTCTTTACTGTAGAGGCTGAAGCAATAAAAGGGACCCCAGTTAATTCAGTTAAGATTAAAACAATAATCAAATGAATCTGTTTAACCAAAAAACCAAATATCCAATTATTTAACAGAAAAATATCCATTTCTAACACAAATAACGGGAGCTCTTACTTTACACTGTTCCATTTTTCACCTGATACTTCTTTTTGTTGTGATAGAGAACATAAATTAGAAATATTCACAACTTGTCCCTGCTAATCTCCAAAGAAGGAAAGGCTCTTGGTTTCAGTAGTGGGTTCTTTTTTTTTTTGATTGTATCTTTTTTTTTTTTTTGTACACAATATATCTATTTTATTTATTTATTTTTATGTGGTGCCGAGGATCAAACCCAGAGCCTTGCGCATGCTAGGCAAGCACTCTACCGCTGAGCCACAACCCCAGATCTAATAATGGGTTCTTGTTCTAATCAGGGTAATAACTGAAGCTGCAGAAGAAGAGAGTGTATTGGATCACCATACAGAAGACAGGAAATGGAGCTACTCAGGTTGTGGGGATAAGGAGGGGAAAAAGTATCCGGTAGGAGGGGGGTGGTGAGCTAATATAGGAATGAAGTAAATATTTATTGATACTATGTCTAGAATTCAGTGTCATGCATTGTAAGTAAAACTGCTTTCAAAGTGCTTTCTATACATTCAAGTTATTTGCTAATGTATACTCATTCACCAATTGGTGTACACTGAAAATATATACAGATAGATTACCAGTTCATAAAAAGAGATACACAAATCCCCAGCATGGGTTCGTTCAACTTACCTGGCCTCATACCAGGTGGTGAAAACCTGGATTTACTGGTTTTTGGGACCTTGGCCTGGCCCATATTTTCTTATTGATTAATTTCTAAAATGGTTGAAACCCAGTGGACTAAATTAGAGTTTATGTGAAGTATTTTAAAATTTTAAGACATTATCATTTTAGAAAGTATTAAAACCAAATTGTGTTTTATTGGCATAAAATTTTTAAGGAAGACATGGATTCAAATCTCTTTGCAACACTTTCTAGAAGGTAATGCTAAGAATGCTACCTAATATTTCTTATTTTTTCATTTTCTATTTTGCAAAGTGGGACTATCTCATAAATTGTTATAGGAATAAAATGAGAGGTTTATAAAGCATTTAGCATGATTCCTGGTCCATGGAAAGGTCTAAGAAGCAAACATAAAAACAACCACACCCATAATCATAAGGCTTGAAATCAAATGGTTTAAATAGTTTTTCAGACAAAAATCAACCAACCAACCAACCAACTAACCAACCAAATTAAAAACAAACAAAACAAAACCACAGACCTAACTAGAATCTGCAACTCCAGGCATTTCAATTTAACAAGTTTGTACTGATGTAAGTGAAATTTAGTTCACAAATGTATTAATTTGTATTCCTGTATGTAGATGGTGTTGCATTTGAATAGATTTAATTCTTGCCCCACCTGAAACTTAAGTCCAAATTCACAATAAGGACATTATAAAATTGTTAGCCATCTTCAAAAATGTAAGTAGTCATACTAGGTACTTCTGTAGTCTGCATATTGGTAAGTTAACTCTCCCATCTTACTAAAGTGGGTAGTTAAGCCAGTATTGTCCTATTTCAAGTACTCATCAAGTTAGAGTTCTGTTCTGGGCGTTTCTGTCTTTTCCCTTCTTCACAGTTAGAGAAGATAATTTCTAGAACTTATGCCAGTGCGAGGATCCAAAGCACAGTCCAGGTGGTCTTATAAGTGCCCATGGGAATCTGAAAATGAGGACCCTGTCAGCTGGGCCAGTCCTTGGCAAAATTCTAAAGTAGATAAAGCAGATTCATTTCCTTCTTCATCACTTGTTCCATGCCTATGTAAGTACTAAGTAAAAGGATTATTTTGTTTAACGACATTTTTTAAGTGATAAGTAAAATATTTGCTGATAAGGGTTTTTGATACAATTCATTCTGGGGAATTTTTTTTAACTTTTAAGTTTGAAGTGATAATAGACTCAGAAGAAGTTGCAAAAAAAAAAAAAAAAGATCACAGAGTAGTCCTAGGAATGCTTCACCCAGTTTCCCTGTTGGTAAAATCAGACATATGTATAGTACATTATCGAAACTGAGAAATTAACATTGGTACAATAAGATTGACTGGACTACATACAGAGGAATTTTTAAAGAATGAAACATTCTCAAGGCTAAAAGGATATCTTAATGTCACCTCTGTCTGTGAAAATCTTAGCTTTGGCACCTGTCTTATTGAATGGCAGTCTGGATTAATGTGCTGTTTTACTCTACCCCTTCAGAGCAGGAATCCTGCTGTATTCACCCTTTATTCCTATTACTTATTAAAGTACCTGGCATTCAATAACATTTTTGGTTAGAGGAATGACTAATAGCTATTTACATCTATAAAGGGTGTTACGGTTTTTGAAGCCCATTTATGCATGCTATCTCTCCTGAGAGTGATCATGGTCTAGGTGAAAGAGAATGAACTGAAAGTATTCATTAGCTTGAGTATTGTGACAAGGCACTAAATGTCCCTGGGTCATACATTTTCATGTGCATAATTGTATCTGCATGACAGTTTTAAAGATTCAAATAGGCAGATGGGGGCTCTGGGAGGTAGATAGGGTAAAGTATTTGATTGCCATTTTACAAAACAAACTCAGAGAGGGTAAATTAATTGCTGAAAATCATAGAACTAGTACATGGCCATGCAGCTAAGCACCTCATTCATGATACCATGTTGTCTTTGCTGAGAAACAGGAGAGTGGTCTAAAACAAAGAAAAGCAAACAAGCAGCTATGGGACAGTTGCAGAGGTTTAAGAATTTCTCCTTATGTGTGGTTGTTGATTTTCTTTGCTATGTGCACAGAAAATCTTCACTTAGAAGGGGGTGGTGTGATGGGCTCCATTAAAGTTAAGCCAAGGTTGTGGGTTGTTGTTTCAGGGATCCCTGCTAAATGCTTCTCACCCTAACACTCAACTAACACCACCAAGGAATCTTGCTTGTCCAACTCTGCAACCAATGCTTATGTTCTCAGTCCCTGTAGAAAGCATGAGAAGATGAGAATTTGGAACTCTTGAGTACTCACATTATATTCAATTTTTTTAATTGAAAGGGAACTTAAATTTAAAAAGATGGAGGGTTTTGACATTCTTATTATGTTTTCCTATTTTCTGCTTATGAAAATAATTTCTTATTAACCAAAGAGTACATGCTAACATGGAACTTTTTCAATAACCTAAAATGACTTAGGGATATACTGACCAAAATTGCCCCACAGCCAGCCTTGAACACCTTCACATGCCCTAGAACCCTCCTTACTAGAAATGCCTATTGGAGAAATATTCCTCTGGATTAGTCAATCTATTAGTTTCACTGAAAAGTAATAGGCGATGGTAAAATTTGTTAATGATTTGCAAGGACTGTTGGCTGCAAATTTCAAAAGTTCTGGTGCCTTCATCATTGAGTTATAATTAAAAACATTAATTTTTTTTGTTGGTGGTTTGAAATTTGACTTTTCTTCCCTCCAGTTAAAAAATGGGAATGCCAATAATCAAGATCAGAGCTTCAGAAAGCTAGGACTAAAACATTTCTCCAGGATTCTCAGTAGTTTCTTTGGTTTTGATACTGTCCCAACCTTTGACCATTTAGGGGAAGTATTCTAAAGGTAAAGAGGAGAGAAGAAAAAAAATAGCTGTAGTGTAGTGCAGGCTATTAGAATTAAGAGACATAACATTGAGAGTTACCCAGAGAATTTCCTCAATAAAATATCTTTGTGTAAACAAAACTTTTGCAAACTCTTCAAAGATTAGAGGAATATAAACATCCTCACGGGTTATAAAATTTTGGAAGCTCACACTCCTAGAATCCTAAGGTATTAAGGATACTCAGACAGTTTCTTTCTTGGCTTGTCTTTGACTTTCTGATGGTTTATTACCTAAGAAACAAAGACACATTATTTATACCTACATACAATAATTCTAATGAGGCTTGATGCATAATGATTCTTTTCCTTGAATTTAAAACAGGATTTTTTTTTCTTGAAAGATAAACCATGACACATATAGAGGAAGAAAAATTTGGCATTTGGAACTCCTTGTGTGCCTATGTTTTTCTTTGCCCTGAGTTTTGCCTTGTTTTTCTTTCAAGGAATAGTGAGAAACCTGGCTAAATAAGAAGAGTGCTAGGGCAGCATCTCTCTGTGTGGTTGCACACCCATGAGGCAAAGCATTACAACTACACAGAAACTGGAACAAATGTCAGGACTTCCTCAGGATATTTCAATGGACATCTCCTTGGACATAATTTCTTTAAGGACTGATACACTTTAAACATAACATCACTTAAAATATCAGTTATATAAATTGGTTGTAATGACTCATAGGTTTATGTGGCATATGGCTCTTGCTGAATATTGATAATGACAAAATATTCCAGTTTTCAATACAAATACCAGGTATGTACTAAGAATAATAATTCTGAAGCAAGACTAGAATTTTATCAGAAAGTGAATTTTTAGCTTAAAAACATGAATGTAAGTAATGATGAACATTCATACTTGTGATTATTTTACAAAATACTTAATATATATAAAATAAGATGCTAAGCATACTTACAATATTTTCCAATCACTAAGATGTAGACGAAGACAGGACCAGATGCCATTTCCTTCTTTCTGAGGAACTGATTAATGAAAATGAATAAAATTTGTCTTGGTTCTGAGTCGGGTACAGCTCACAGTGGTTGTGTGCTATTTCTGTCTGCAATCTTAGCAGCTATAAAGCGATCCTCCCTCCTTTCTCTCTCATTTTATTTCTCTCTCTCTCTCCCCATTCCCTCTTCTTTTCTTTCTTTCTCTCTCTCTCTCTCTCTCAGGATCTTTCCTCCCCGCCCTCTTTCTCTAAAAGTCTTAATATTCTTCTTTACACATACATGTGCACATGCACATACAAATGCAGGCAGAGCTGAGCAGCAAGGAAAAGTTTCAGACAGAGAACACACAGGCTCTGTTCCCTCTAAACATCTTGTTTCTGTGTCCTGCGGCAGTCTACAAATAAGGGTGTGTGTGAACACCGACAAATGTCTGCTCTGATCAAAATCACACTTCTAGAGAGAAAAGGAGCTCGAGATAGATTCCCAACAAAAACACACGATTTTTTCCCCCTTGACAAGTGATGAGGAAAAGAACAGAGCTACACAGAGCAAAATGCCTTTGTGGAGTGAACGATAGGGCGGGAATTAAAGTGTAACTACAGCAGTCTTCTGTAATTTGTGTTTGGAAATTCAAACAATAGGACATGGTTGAGAGAAAAAACACAGAGGAATTAAAAAATACATCTAAAATTCTTCTGAATTCATGAATTTACAGTAAAGATCGTGACATGTCATTGGCTGTGGAGTAATTTTCTGGGTTTGCTTTGTAGGTGCCCTGCCACTTTAGAGCTGTGTAGAAGCTTGGCTGAGCCTTAGCTTTCTGGAGGAAAATATTGAAGACTAGTGCAGGTCTAGTGCATACTAGGTGCTTACTAAATGGAAGACATTTATATGATGATGATATTTATAGTTTGACCAGCAGTGGGGAAAAAACGTGCAAATCCCAAGAACACTTCTGTGAAATGCATTTCCTTTAAACCAGAATATATATTTTTTGTTTTGCAACTTGAAAATGTATTTCTACAGTAAATTGGTAGCACATGGATATGAGGAATTTGTTTGTGAGGTTAATACCCACTACTTGTAGATTCTACAATCTATTTAAATTTCATATTTTTGCATCATTAACTTCAATAAGAAGCCTATTTCTAAATAGTGTCTAAAAGATTATCTTAATAACCCTCCCACCATCAATATCATTCATTCCATGAAAAAAAGTAATCCCCAAAGGACTAAAAAAAGAGCATACTACAGTGACTCAGCCACATCAATGTTTATAGCAGCACAATTCACAGTAGCCAAACTGTGGATCCAACCTACATGCCCTTCAATAGATGAATGGATAAAGAGACTGTTTGTGTGTGTGTGTATATATATATACACACACACAATGGAATATTGTGTGTAGGACATGGTTGAGAGAAAAAACACAGAGGAATTAAAAAATACATCTAAAATTCTTCTAATAAGAGAGATAAAATTATGGCATTTGCAGGTAAATGGATGGAGTTGGAGAATATCATGCTAAGTGAAGTAAGCCAATCCCCCCAAACCAAAGGCTGAATTTTTCTCTGATAAGTGGATGCTAATTCATAATGGGGAGTGGGGACATGGAATGATTGAAGGAACTTTGGATTGGGCAAAGGGGAGGGAGGGGAAGAGAGGGGGCCTGGGGGTAGGAAAAATGGTGGAATGAGACAGATGTCATTATCCTAGGTTCATGTATGATTGCATGAATGGTGTGTCCCTACTTCGTGTACAACCAGCAAAATGAAAAATTGTGCTCCATTTATGTACAATGATAGAGTATCCTGCTGTCATGTATAACTGATTAGAACAAATAAAAAAGTAATTAAAAATTACTGTGGAGTAATTTTCTGGGTTTGCATTGTAGATGGCCTGCCACTTTAGAGCTGTGTAGAAGCTTACTTCTTAAAAAAAGTAATTCAATACTGGAATCTACACGAATCCATCTTCATTTAAGATTTATTTAATGAAGACAATTTCTTTTGGTAAGAAATGTTTATAGTTAACTGAATTTAAATGCCCACTAAATATTTGGTATTTTAAATAGTACTTGAAATGTTTTAAGAGGATTTGTGAGTGGCTAGTGGATAATTTAATATTTTAAAAATACTTTTTCCTGGAAGGATGCTTTGAGACATATGAAGGGCAATGTCTAAAGAAGGACCCATTGAAACCTTTCAGTAATAAAGCTGAGGAACTTACTTTGGAAATTATCCCAGTGTAAAGGAAATTACAGATGCAGAGGTTTTCAGGCTTAAAAAATTGTACACATACGTGTGTACAATTAGTGGGCCAAGAGCCAGAAAGTACTTTGTAATTATTTATCTTTAATCTACTCAAATTATCAGTGCAAAATTTCAAAATCACTTCTCACTTTAATTAAGAATATAAAGGGGTAGGCGCGATGGCGCATGCCTGTAATCCCAGCAGTTTGGGAGGTTGAGGTAGGAGGATTGTGAGTTCAAAGCCATCCTCAGCAACCTAACGAGGCCCTAAGCAACTCAGCGAGATCCTGTATTTAAATAAAATATAAAAAAGGGTAAGGAATATGGCTTGGTGTTTAAGCACTCCTGATATATATATATATATATTCAATTCCTGGTATATATATATATATATATATATATATATATATATATATATATAATGAATTTTATAAAAATAGGTATTTACTTGAAGAAGTAATTTTTGATGTCTGTGGGATGCCACTTCTTTCTTAGTTTTAGCCAGGCAGGGAAGAATCTGGAATATTAGTTTTATATAAGTATATTGGTGGGAGAAAACCAAAAGTGAGCATAGAGAGCCCTTTCCATTTGCAGCTGTACTGTTGGTAACCCTGGGCTGGAGGATTCTTTTTTGTGAAGGGCTGTTCTTTGCGCTGTTGGATATTTAAAAGCATCCCTGTCCTCTACCAATTGGGTGAGGTTAATACTCTGCAGATGTGAAAATTAAAGGTGTCTTCAGACATTGGCAAATACCCCTTGGGGACCGGAAGCAAATTCACTCCTGATTAAGAACTAATGCGTTGTAGCCAAATACTCCCTTGAATAATGATTAGTATTGATTTAGCCAGATTATTGAATAGAATACTTTGTACCTAAAATTTGAGTTAAAATATATTTCTCATTTTCTTGTTTTGCAGTTTGAAGATGTACATTAAAACAAACATATGGCATGTGTTCTCAGCCTTCTCTTCCTGCCCACATTGTTCAATTATAAACTTGCATTAAGGACCTGATAGAATCTGTGATGTTAATGCCTTCCCTTTGGCTGAGCATTGTCCAAGTTTTCTACCAAAGATTGAATCAAGCCAGACAAGCATTATTAGCCCATCTAATCTAGATCCACAGTAACCTGTGGTTTCCCATCTTATCATGACTGAAGATCTCTGTGTTCTTTTGTACACGATTCTGAACCTATCAGAGACCATCATTTTCAACAGTGAAAACAGCCATTTTATTAAATATTATTTTTGATTGTAGACAGGAATTTCATAGAGCAAGAGGTTGGGAAAATCTCAGTCAAAGCCTTATGATGCAGAGATATTCAAGTAATAGTTCACCAGCCACAAATTAAGTATATCAAGTACAATCTGAGGGCAAAACGTTCATGCTATCAAATTGTTTATCCTGTGGATCCATTTCTAGTTGACAGATGTCAGTCAAGCAAGACTCTTAAGGTGCTCATCTAAGTCACATCCAAAGACAATTTTAGCTATCTTGATTTAGTATCAATTAAATACACGAGAAATGAGATGGCCTTTGGAGAAAGATATTAAGCAAAACATACAATTAAGATAGAGCAACTAATAGGCACAGAGATTTCAAAAGATGTTTTACCCCAAATATAAACAATTGTGTCTCAGATAAAAGTAACCAGGAACTATTATGACGTTTTAGCAGAAAATTAACCAATAAGTAGCAAGCCAAGCCCCAGTTCATATGTTGTCATGCATCCCATTGATGGTTATAATAGGAACATAGAATGTAGTGACCCTCTGCAAAATTGATAGTGTGAAGAATATGATGGCAGGAGCAAGAAGCAAAACTCTCTCTCTCTCTCTCTCTCTCTCTCTCTCTCTCTCTCTCTCTCTCTCTCATCTATTCATCTATCAATCCACCCATCCATCCATCCATCCATCCATCCATCCGTCTATGCATCTATCATCTTGAGCAGTAATACAAATTGATGGCATTTGTTAAGTGCAAACTCTTTTTGTAGAAATTACTATTATTAACCTTGACTTACTTGGTTACCTCAAACTTTTACAATAGAGACTCATACTATCTAGATTATGCCTGTCTTGTTCAAGACTGACAGTGAAAAGGAGTGATTTAGTCTGTTAGATAACAGTGTCGACCTTGCTTTTTCGTGTCTGGTAAGCTATGCTCTCAGCCAGGAGTCACCTTCCTTCGATCTTCCCCACAAGCTCATTATGCTAAGTCATTAAGCTTCAGTTACTTCAGATTTCTTGGGTGAACTGCAACTCCCCTGCCACAACAGAAGCCTTGCATCTAAGCTCTTCTCACTTGCCTAGGATTTAACTTACTCTTTGCTCCTGGGATCGGCCCTACAGGAGATTTAGTGCTCTTTGCCCTAATCCCAGTCTTGTTCCCTCCAGGCGCTATCAGTCTGCTGCCGATGCCTCTGCATGCCTCATCTGAGACGACTTGACTTATATAAGGGTTATCTCCTACAAGTTGGGAGGCAGAATAAATTAGAAAAGTGAAAGAGACTTGTTACAGAAGTGCCAGGAGCATCTTGGGAACTGGAGTCTTAGTTTTGTTATTAATTAGACACATAACATCTGATAAGTAACTTAAAAGCTCTGGTCTACAGTTACCTCACTTGTAAAATGAAAAGTCGATCTTTTAGATGCAAAACAGCTATGCTATTTTGTGAAATATGATATTCTGCTTCAAAGTAATTTATAAATTAGCTATGGAGACAGAGGCACATACATGAATTGCCCAAAGTATATGTTTATCAAATATCTCTATTAATTCAAATAAGGATGCCATTAATATAATGTTTAAAGGAGATACGAAAGGGTATTGGAGAGACAGGTATAGAGAGCCTGGTAGGGCCACCCATGGAGGTTTTCTGCAGAAGGAAAGATGTGCTGTGAGGGTAGAAGGCAGAGAAGCACATGGATGGAGACTTCACATTGATGGAAACTAATGTGAACAACATTTTGTATCAGAGACAAATGGGAGCAAAGTATGAGCATGTGCAAATGGCTAGTTGAGATGGGCCTAGCACCAGAAAATAACAGAAATTATTGAAGAGCTAGCGATAAAGCTATTGGGGAGTGCCAAATATTAGGCTGATTAATTTAGAATAATAGAAAATAAATTATGTAAGGTGATATTAATTTCTGGGCAATGGAGTAGCATAATCAAATGAAGACTATTAAGAAAACTAGTCTCATGACCATATGGTACAAAAGATAAGAAAAAGATCATAATCAGTGAAAT